TGTGTTATGTAATGGGGTCAATACCCAGAAATAAAACTAAAACCAAGAAAGCTTTGTTGTTGTTATGTATATGTGTGTGAGTTTCTTGCTATGTGTGTTAATACAGGTAAATATGACACATGTACTGTTTGAACAAATGTGAAGTTTATGAAAAAAAGAAGAAACAATTACTGAGTCATCCTAGATCAGTGCAAACAGGTAATACTGCTGACTTCAGAAACACTCTCTAAGATACACATACAAAAACACACACACACACACACACACACACATACACACACACACACACCACACACACACACACACACACCACACACACCACACACACACACACACACACACACACACACACACACACACACTCAGACACAAACGTACTCAGGGCTAAGGTTCAGCAGGGTGTACCCCATTAAGATAGCCTTAGTTAAAGTGTGACCGGACACTACTGTACACTTTATGCGGTTAGCGTTTAAAGCGGCAGGATATATACAGGCAGGAGGAACAACACACCACAACACATCATCTGTAAGCAATGAGGGTCATCAACATGGTATGATTGGCTGAATACATACAGAGGATATGCTTTCCATTTTATCACTACTTTTTCGAATATATTTAATGACCCTCTTCTTACTTTTACTCATTTACTACTTCATATTATGTTGAAAGCATGTGTGTTTTTTCTATTTTTGTAAAACCTGAAAATGTTTCCAGCTCTCTGTATCTCTGCTCTCAGGGTCCAGATCCGTCCCTGGCATATCGGCCGAATTTGAAGACAAATGAAACCAAAGAGAAGGAAGGCTACAGAAACTTTGAGGTAAGCATCTACATCTCCCCTTGAGATCATGATAGTTATTCAATACTGCATTCATTTATGGTCAAATGATCGAATTAAGAGGTGAGAACGATTATTTTGACATGCACGAAATGGGTGAATAAAACAAGAGGCTAAAAAGAGACAGAGATATTCAGTTGAGTCTGTTTGTATTAGCAGAGCATAATCCCTAATTTGCTCTGTTGGAGCTAAAACTAAATGTTGAACATTGATCATCAAAATCACTAAGAGCTGAATCTCCATTAATGAAGTAATGCAGAAATTGCCAACCAAAAAAATAATTGTATGTAAATGTACTGAAAAACTGTTTAATAAACCGAGATAGTGAAAATGTTTGTGTGTGTGTGTGTGTGTGTGTGTGTGTGTGTGTGTGTGTGTGTGTGTGTGTGTGTGTGTGTGTGTGTGTGTGTGTGTGTGTGTGTGTGTGTGTGTGTGTGTGTGTGTGTGTGTGTGTGTGTGTGTGTGTTTCAGAGTGGAGATCTAATTGATTGTGTGTTCAACACATATAAGCTGATGCACACTCATCAGACGGTGGACTTTGTTAATCAAATGGTGAGTAAATCAGGAGCAAAAACAGAAGTTGTAACGTTGCCGCAATTTTTTCTCTCTGTGAAAAATCAGTAATGAACTGAAGTGTACTGATTTTGTATTTTGTGCAATTCTGTTATGACTGATTGATCTTATCAGACTAAGCAAACAAGGGTCAACTCTGGGGACTGCGTTGTGCTTCCACTTATTGATTTAACTTCTGCATTTCATACAGTCGACCATGACATCCTGATCTCTCGCTTGGAGAAGTGGGTGGGCATTGCGGGGAAAGCCCTGGAATGGTTCAGGTCATATCTGAAGGACAGAACTTTCTCTGTCAGCCTTGGTGACTCCGAGTCATCCTCTGCTCCACTCCTGTATGGGGTCCCACAGGGCTCAGTATTAGGCCCCCTGCTATTCTCCCTCTATTTGCTCCCTCTTGGGTCCATATTTAGAAAGCACGGCATTGCATTGATTATTTATTTATTTATTTATTATTGTGATGCTATGAACTATTTATAGTGTAAATTGGAATGATCCACATCTGTGCTCCCTGGTGTATCTGTATGTTTTCTTCATGTATGTTCCTGCCTGTGTACATGACATAAGCTGCTGCTCATAACCAATTTGCCCTTGCGGGATTAATAAAGTTGTTGATTGATTCCATTGCTATGCTGATGATAGCCAGATGTATGTCCCACTAAAAAAGAAGGAGGGTTACTCAATTAGTCCACTGCTAAAGTGTCTAGAGGACATAAAGGCCTGGATGGCGTGCAATTTCCTAAAACTAAATGAAGGAAAAATAGAAGTAATGGTTTTTGGTAGCACCACTGGCACCACTTCTGTAGAGCTGGGTTCCCTGGCTCAGTACACCAAGCCCACTGTGGCATTAAAATGGACCGTGAACTAAAACTTGAGAGTCAGATTAAATCTGTGGTAAAAACAAGCTTTTATCACCTGAGGCAGCTAGCCAAAGTAAAACCTTTTCTCTCCAGACAGCAGTTTGAGACAGTAATCCACGCCTTTGTCACCACTCGGCTGGATTACTGTAACTCTCTCTACATGGGGGTCAGTGGGTCCTCCCTCGCTCGTCTGCAGCTGGTGCAAAATGCCGCAGCAAGGCTTTTAACTGGCACACGGAAATATGATCACATTTCCCCCATTTTGGCTTCGCTCCACTGGCTGCCAATACATTTTAGGATTCATTTCAAAATCCTTTATTTACTTTTAAATCCCTAAATGGCATGACCCCACCATATCTTTGTGAGCTGCTACACCCTTACACGCCCAACCGCCCTCTCAGGTCAGCGGATCAACTGCTCCTGAATGTGCCCAGAACCAAGTCAAAGCTCAGAGGGGACCGTTGCTTCTCTATAGCGGCTCCCACACTGTGGAACGATCTGCCCCTGCACATCAGACACTGCCTGCTTTTAAATCGCTTCTTAAAACCCACCTCTTCTCCTTAGCGTATTAACATCTTTTAGAGCGTTGCTTTTACTAGTCTATTGTTTTTACTTGTACTTGTTTTATGGTGAGTGAGCTGAGCTGTTTGTTTTGTTTATTTGCCTGTACAGCACTTTGGTCTGGAGGTTTAAAGTGCTTTATAAATAAAGCTGTATTGTATTGTATTCTCTGGTTGCACATGGACTCTAGCTGTTTTAATAAACGTAAACTATCTACAGAAGCTTTTTATAACATATCATTTGAAAATTCATTGGGATAATACTCAAATAAAACTAAATAAATATAAAGCTTTTTCAAAATGTTTATTTTAGGTTCTCTAGTAGTAGTTGGAGAAACTGAACCTCTGCAGCACTATTATCACTCGTACCGTTTTGCAGAACTCTGTGTGGACGGGCTGCAGCCACACTAAGCTGGGGATGATGGACGCCATCATGTCTCTGGACCAGCTGGTGGACGAGTCTGATCCTGATGTGGATTTCCCCAACTCCTACCACGCCTTCCAGACTGCTGAGGGCATCCGTCAGGCACACCCAGACAACGGTACCATACTGAGAGAGAAGCAGAAATACACAGACTGTATACAAAAACATACTTGATAACTGTATTCACTGTCTCTCCCCAGACTGGTTCCATTTGGTGGGTCTGATCCATGATGTTGGGAAGACAATGGCTCTTTGGGATGTTCCTCAGGTAGACACATGGTCTGGTATATCATTTCCAACTCTGAACAACCGCACTGCTAAACCAGAGTTCATCTTGTACCTTAATGTCATCTTTTAAGTTATGTCATTTTTCCAAGAAATGTTCTGTCTTCCCAAAAACTCAAATTCTTTCTGTGACGGGTCTTCAATTTTTTTCTCCACAAAGCAGCTTGTCATTATTACGAAATCCCTTGACCTTATCTACATGTTTTATAAAATATACATCGAACCTAATGAATCTTAATTTCATACTTTGCGTGTGTGTGCTCTCCAGTGGGCGGTAGTAGGCGACACCTTCCCAGTGGGCTGCCAGTATCAAAACTCCATTGTGTTCAGGGACAACAGCTTCATGGATAACCCAGATGAGAAGAATTCTCGCTACAAGTTAGTATTGTCATCTCACATCATCAGTCTGCACATTGTCTACCCCTGAAGCCAAGGATGTGTATTTTAAGTTTCCCATACTTTTGCAACACTTTCTGTGCCAGGTTTTTGAGACCTCTGTTTGGTTGCCTTTAAACTTTATGTGTAGTCCAGTCTTTCCAAAACACAATGTTTTGTATTTATCTGCAATAACGACCAACATCAATCCAACTTGTAGTTCTACAATTATTGACGTCACCTAAAGACTTGTTGTTGGAAGTAATGGGAATTCTTCTGTTAAGTAATGACTTTTTTTTAAAACTATTTAGTACTGAGTTCGGGATCTATGAGCCAAACTGTGGCCTCGACAAAGTCCACATGTCCTGGGGCCATGATGGTTAGAGACACTCTAACACACAAAACAAACATCTACTAGAACATTTAACAGAAGTCATTGAAGTTCTTGTTTTTCTTCAATATTGTTTATGATCTCTTGCATTGTTGTCTTCAGAATATCTCTACAGAGTTTTGAGGTTCAATAACTGCTCCATCCCAGAGGAGGTCAGTATATTATAACATTAAATTATTGTTTAAGTTATGTTTTGGGGAATTAAACAATGAAAGCAGACAGAAAGGGTGCAAATATTTTCTCACCTCATCAGCAGTGATACTGTTTTTCTGTCTTCCTGCAGGGGTCGTACATGATTCGCTTCCATTCATTCTACCCCTGGCACTCCCACGGAGACTACATGCACCTGTGCAACGAGAAAGACCTGCGCTTGCTGCCCTGGGTCCAAGAGTTCAAGTGAGCATCTTCCTTTGTCCTGTGCATGTTATCCTGTTCATTGCTCCGACCTGAAGCGGCATCTTCTATCCTCTCCACAGTAAATTTGACCTTTACACAAAGACCACGGAGCTGCCCGACGTCGACAAGCTGAAGCCGTACTACCAGTCTCTGATCGACAAGTACTGCCCTGGAATACTGAAGTGGTGAAACAGACGGCATTGAATTAAACAGCAGCACTATATAGAAACAGAAAGTGATACAAATGATAAGTATATTTATAAAACTGATGTTTGCATTTCTCAAATAAATATGTACAGAATTATTTTATTTTTTTAATTATTCTTTAATATGTAATAAAAAAACATTTAAAAACAAACCACATCAATTTGTCTGGGGATTCATTTCATATCTTGATACATTTGAGGAATTTATATATCTGGGGAATAAAAAAAGGAAAAGTGGAGTGTAGTTGATAGAGCAAAAGATCACAGTAACAAACAACACCTGCAAACACACACCTGAATTAACATACAAGTGCAACAACACACACAGAGTAACATGAGCAACCATTACTCTCTTAATGAGTGGAACAGAAGACTGCTTATATTTACATTTTTATAGTTCTCTTTTCTTTCAAAAATATAAACATCTTGATCTGCTGAATTAAGTGATTGTGAACAGACTGATATAAGGAACATGAAAAGCAGTAAGGTGTAGATGGGAGATTTGTTTTATAATTGGCTGATCAGGAATGACAAATATACACATATACCTTCTTTGGTCATTTTCGTAACATTTATAAAAGGCAGACGGTGATAACAGTTCATCATGGGATAAGCATCTTCTTTTTAAAACTTCCTCTTTTCAAGGATCTCCTCTGTTTCCATCCCGTCTTCCTCTTCTTTGTCGTCCCCAACAGGGTATTTCTCCTCTCCTTCGCAGTCCTCCACCTCATCTTCACAGTCCCCTCCATCTTCCTCTTCTTCTTCCTCCTCTTCCTCCTCTTCTGCTTCCTGCTCTTCATCTGACTTCCCATCCGTGTCTGGAGCGCTGTCAGGTGCATTTGCTGTCTGATCGGTCGTAGCTTCCTTCTGAGTGCCTGCTGTTCTTTCTGTGTGTTTGTTCCTGCTCTGCAGTCTGTGGAGCAGACAGAGGGTGGCGCTGCAGGCGATGAGGGTCCAGATGAGCACGGGGGCAGGAACTCCTCTGACCTGAGAGCGCACCCACCGCACCGCCTTGGCCACAGGGGTGTTAGGCAAAGGACGCGGAGGAGATATGTCCTACAGACAAAAGAGAAGAATATTAATAAGAGTTCAAAAGATTTAAGACAGGGAATGTAACATGCACTGCCCACTAGGGCTGCACATTTAATTCCAATTTAAATTAAATCGTAATATGGACCAGTAAAATAATCAAATGGCAGAAAGCACAATGTTTGGTAAAACGTAGAACATGTGTAAAAAATACCATTTTAAATTAAGTTTGATGTAATCCAAGCCTACAAATCATATTAAACAAACTTATTTGTTTGGCACAGATCTCCATTAAAAAGTCACTCCATAATATTTTTATATTCCATGATAATGAGAAATATGATCAATTACTCCATTATTTTGAATCATATCTTAATTGCAATGTCAGTCTAAATAAATGCTATTAGTAATTATTTCCTAAAATGTGCAACCCTACAACTGACAAACATTTTTGTTTTCCATATTACTAAAAATATGTTTTTGAGATACATTTACCTTGAGTCCATACTGAGTGAGCATGGTTTCCAGGAAGGTGTTGCCCAAGTGCACCATGGGATAGAATTCCTCATCATAGACCCGCCTCCACCAACGCTCTGGGTAGGATCTGCCAACAAAGAGCAGCCAAAGAAAGTAAATATCCTGAGGTTTTCAGGAAGTATTCGCACAGTAAAAGTATAAATAAATATATGAATAACTCTTTAATGAATAACGGTTTAGAATAACTAAAATTGCCTACTCCCTTAATAAAAAATAATTTGTTAAACAATGTTTATTGAGTTTGAGTTTGGCAGTAACGTTTTAATGTGTGCTTTCAGCATGTCATTTCAGAGCTGAAAACAATCAAGATTTCTTCAGAGAGCAAGAGAGAGCGAGAGAGAGAGCACTGACCCATCAGCCTTGGGTTCAGTAAACCAGTATCTGTAGCGGTGCGCTCGGAGGTAGGCGGGGGGCTCCTGGTGGAACGGATACTGTGACACGTCCGTCTGGATCAACTCTATCACTGCACAACAGAAAACAAAGCTTTGAGATCAGCTTGTTCCTGAAAATCAACAAACACTGCCTTCATTGTATTGCTAATTTAACATTGAATCATTTAGAGAAGAGAACATTTTCTACACTGTGCACATGTAGTCCTGGTCCAACAACATTGTAACAAAGTTGGACTGTGTCCCACACTAACAACTCTAAGATGTACTGTCATTTTATGAAAAATAGTTACTGTTGACTTTTATTCAGATGTCATCAAAGTAAAGATGCCGCAGAAGTGTGTGTATTTCCGTCTGCAGTCTTTCGTGTTAACACAACTTGGGTGCAAAGAGATGTTTCAAACATTTTTACAAATGGTAAGAAGCATCTTTTTGAATGAACCCTGGCAAGGCATTAGTGTGAGCACAGCGATGCAAAGATCCAGGGCTGGATTCACTTCTTATCACAACAGTGATGTGATCTCCTATTATGTGTTGTACAAAAATGTAAGCATTCAACTTTTAACCCAAAAAAAGCCAAGCCAGCCGTGTTGTTTTTTGCCCATCACCCAATCAGTTGTATTTCCCTTTAAGGAAATCAAAGAATGATAGGAAACAGAGAATAACAGCATACCATCTCTCTTGCCCTGCAGCAAGCGGTACATGAGGCTGGTGAACCATGGTGCCTGTGTTTGATCCCCGAGGGCAGCAAACCACATCTGCCAGTCCAACCGCGGCTGGTGAGGAGTCACCACAGCTGGGGGGCACTTAGGTTGCCTGGCTTGTACATAAACTCAATCTCCTGAAAAGAAAAGGAACATACTGATAGGAATAACCATTGCTGTCCAGTACTGCCTCAATGGTTATACTATACAGTTACAGATTGTGAAAACGGCGGGCCTCTCATACTCGTTAAATAAAAGAAAAAAGCAGAGCAGGCCTGTCATCATTAGGCAAACTATTATCTCAATGAATGGTATGGTCTAAACATTTTTTCATAAAATAGAAAAATGTCCATTGAAGCTTCTTGAAGTCCAACATCTCAATCCAAAACACAAAGATATTTACCTATATACGAATTAAACAAAAGGAAAGCAGGAAGTCTACATATTTGAGAGGCTGAAAACAGCATTCCTGCCATTTTTGCATGAAAAAAAAATAGTTATAAAATAAATTATTTAAACAATTAAAAAAATAGTTTTTTATTATGATTATTTTACTTTTAATTGCCTAATTGATTCGTTGTCGATCAACTCTGGACATCCTTAACAGCCATATTTAGATCCTATTAAAACCATCGCCATTGAGAACTTCTTCCTCTCACCGTCCAGGAGACTGCGTCGTTGCTTCCCTCGATGACGACCTCCGGCCGCCCGCTGACCCCGGTCATCCTTCTGAAAAGGCCGTAAGAGTTAACCAGCTGGAAGTGATCCACCAGGTCGTAGGCCCGACGCACCCCGGGCCACAGCTTGCCGTGAGAGTCGTACTCTATATAGCTGTATGGCACCTGGGACAGAGAAAAAAAGTCAACATAAGTAGTGACAGCAACCAGGTTGGAAGGAATAAGGGCTGCACAATACATTGTAATATGGACAAGTGCGATAATCAAATGCCAGGAAGCACAACACACATTTGGTGGATAAATACACTATTAAAATTGATTTTTTTCATTTTTCTTATGATATGAATTTCCACGGATACAAGCGGCCGAGATGGGTTTTCTCCGCAGGGTGGCTGGTGTCTCCCTTAGGGATAAGGTGAGAAGTTCGGTCATCAGGGAGGGACTCGGAGTTGAGCCGCTCCTCCTTCGCGCCGAAAGGAGCCAGTTGAGGTGGTTCGGGCACCTAGTTAGGATGCCACCTGGGCGCCTCCCTAGGGAGGTGTTCCAGGCACGTCCAGCTGGGAAGAGACCAAGGGCTAGACCTAGGACCAGGTGGAGGGATTATATCTCTTCGCTGGCCTGGGAGCGCCTTGGGATCCCCCAGTCAGAGCTGGTTGATGTCGCCAGGGAAAAGAAAGTTTGGGGCTCTCTGCTGGAACTGCTACCCCCGCGACCCGACCACGGATAAGCGGGAGAAGATGGATGGATGGATGGATGAATTTCCACCATTATGCGCTTTCACACCAAGTACTTTGCCGTGCTTAGTTCCCAGTACTTGTTCATCAGAACTCTGATGAACTAAAGAGAAGATCGCGTTCACACACGGAATAAGTCCCTGAGGGAGGATTAGGCAAATGAAGCCGCTGACGTCACTTCTTCTTCTTCTGCTTTGGGTTTACTGGCAGGCCGCAAACAACTTCACGGCGTATACTGCCACCCGAAGTCCCCGGCCGGAAGTCCCCAGAGTTGGGGATTGGCTTCAGTAGAAGCTGCTGGGACTCCCAGCTGCTTCTATCGCCAGACCGCTGACACCTCCTCATCTCCACTGCTCCAATGTTTTTTTTTGTGTTGCCATAAGTTAGTCTCTCTTCGTTGGTGCGCTGGGCTAATGTTAATAATGCTAATGCCAGCAAATACAATGGCGGCTTCACAAAACTTTTCCGAGTTTTACGGGCCGTGGTTTGCAATTCGCCCAGCCAATCAGAAATGGGAACCTTTTTCTCCCATGAAAGTACCTGCTCTCTAGAAGGGACTAAAAAGGGGGTGAAAAGGTTCTCATGAACTAAGTTCTAGTTCCGGATTTTTTGGGTGTGAACGCAACATTTCAAGAACTATCGGAACTATACTGGGAAAAGTACTCCGGTGTGAAAGCGCCTATTGATGAGTTTCCAACAACACCCACCAGACTGACGGTGAACATAGCTGCAGTGGCAGCAGCAAACACAGACCACTGCAGAGTTCCCCAAAACCTCTTCAGGAAACCGGAGACACATGCACACCTGGAAAAACAAATGAATTGCCTATGTTATATTTGGTCAATATGCAATATAATCAAGAATATATATACACACAAAGAGTCCTACCTGAACATGGCTGTGACCATCTCCCAGGTGAGAGAGAGGACACCGATCCAGATAAAGGGGATGGTGACCGTCTGCAGAAACTGGTTAAACTGGTGGTATGTGAAAGCTGCAAGGACAAGAGTGTTAACAAAAGACAGCAGAATTAAATGAATTACTCCTATTGAAAATGACACCTACCTGTCTTGGAGGTGATGCCCTTCTTTGTTGAGTCCAACTTCAGGTCAAAGCATAGAACTGATCCGAAGATCATGAGAGACCAGACTGCCAGCTCCAGCAGGTAACACAGCCAGGAACACAGCCTGGAGTCTGAGCAGATCAAAGAGAGAGCGTGAGGAAGCTGTGGTGAGAGAACTTTGGCAGAATGGATAAACAACTAATGATATGAGCCGTTATGTTTATCATACCATTTTTGCTGATCTTGTCTGCCTTGCGTAGCCAGAAGTTTACATGCTGGTCGTCCAGCAGCGACAGACAGAGAGCCAAAGTCAGCAGGTTGAAGAAATTGTAGTTGCCGGTCAAAATGATGAGCACTTGGAGCAACACCTTCAAAAGAAAAAAGAAATCCAGATCCATGAACAATTTATTCTGCAGCACAAGTGTGTGTGTGTGTGTGTGTGTGTGTGTGTGTGTGTGTGTGTGTGTGTGTGTGTGTGTGTGTGTGTGTGTGTGTGTGTGTGTGTGTGTGTGTGTGTGTGTGTGTGTGTGTGTGTGTGTGTGTGTAGAAGTACTTTTCTTGCATTGCATCTAAACATTCTCTCTCTCTTTCTCTGTATATCAGGTTGAGTTTATCGAGAACCTCTAAATACCGAAAGTCTTCCGGCTCCGCCATCATGCCGATTACGTCTGATATTTCTGCTGCCGTTGACAACCACATCACCGAGGGAGACAGGCATTTCATCTGGAGGGCCCTGCTGCACAAATACCCCCCGCCGAGGTGGTCCGACCCGTTGCTTGACCAAAGAGACAGTGTGCCATGGGAAGCGCCGGCCTGGCACCGAGGGTCACGGGGTCGTCGCCACGCCAACAATGGTGGCTCGAGAGGCCACGGCCATCTGATGAGGGTGGGGTGCGTCAGTGGTAAATCCACCGCGGAGAATAACCAGAAGGGCAACCAGGCAACCATGGCAACCATGCTCGGGGGTCTTATTCGCTGCTTTTGGTGTATTTTGTGGCGGAAGTACAGCGTCACTTACAGGCCCGGCATATGTACTACAGCGTCTCCACCGGGTCGAGCGGTCTCGTGTGAACGGACACGTTTCTTGTGCCGATTCCGTGTGGACGGAAGACTTTTTTGATATCGACCTCGGTTTGTTTTCGTCTCCATGTGGACGGGGCCTAAATGTAGTGAAACTAGTCCTAGGAGTTTTAGTATTGATGACAGACCATTGATTTGGACACTTTATATGTTAACAAGGAAAACTGTGAATGACAGAAGCCTCTTTCAAACTGGCCAACATGACTAATGGCTACTATCGTCATCATTGGTGATCCTGCTGATCTGAAGCTACTTGAGCTCAGAGCTAATCCACCCTGCCTCTCAAAAGCACCTTCATCTGCTTCTGCTAGTAAAGTAGATGTACTGTAGTGCGAACATAAACCCAGAATAACCTCCAATCAAACACTGTTAAACCTTCACCCAAAACCCCACAGAGCAGACAATTGGCCAAAAATAACCACTAACCCTAATCCATTATCGTCGGGCGCTTCTTAGAAGATAGATTGTCTCTTAGCGTGTAAAAGCATTATCTGTATGGTGCATCATTATGATTTTTGCCACTTATTTTGCCAAGTATTTTCTTCAGCCTTACATTTTTCAATCATGTGTTAGGCCTTGCAATGTTGTGCCTTCAAACTATCCACATTAATTATCACTGTGAATCTAAGTGTTATTTAAACCTTATAGTATTTTCTTTGTTCGTAAATTAAAGGTAGGGTATGAAAGTTTGAGAAACCGGCTCGAGATCGCTAGAATTTGAAAATACACGACCGGAGAAAATCTGCCACTTCCTTATAGAGCCCCTCCTCCAACACACATTTTAGCCGGGCCGGCTAAAATGATTGGTCGTACTTTTTACAGTATTACGGCTTCCACAGATGACATTTTGTTATGGATTTTTTGTCAAAGCACTTAAGATATGTATTGCTATCGGAAGATGTTAAGAGCATTCCATGGAATATAACAAAAAGTGTATCTCGAGCCGGTTTCTCAAACTTACATACCCTACCTTTAAGCATAATAGTGTCAGTTGTTAAATGCTAATAGGAATGCATGAAAGGACTTTTTTTCTCCTTTACATTCAGTATGACTTGAATTTTTCAAAATATGTTATTTAAGCTTAACTTAATGAGATCATTTTTGCTGTAAATATTCCACTAACTTCATGTTCATGTGAGCAGCCTGATAAGGTACAAGTGTCTTTTTCTGCACCTTATGTTTGACTTTCATCTAATACTTTGTTTTTATATTAGCAGCAATGTTGAATTAAACTCCAGTCAAACTTTCACGTGTCGTATCTGTCAACAGAAGTGTGAGGTGCGAGTGCGAGTGTACATTTGAATGTCATAATGTTCTTTACAACAAGGTAGTGATAATGATTATCAATCTAGGCTACTACTGCACACACACACACACACACACACACACACACACACACACACACTCACACATACACACTCACTTTCCTGTCGTAACTCTTAAAAACCACATACATACATACATACATACATACATACATACTACATACATACATACATACTACATACATACATACATACATACATACATACATACATACATACTACATACATGTAGAGGAAACTTCTGTGTAGCATTCAATGGAGTCACCGACTCAGGAAGGAGACACGGGAAGAGTCGGAGCTTTGATGTCAACCACTGTGATTTATTTGGAGTTGGTACCAGAGTATTCACATCACAAATCCAAGAGTCAGAGGTTCTGACTCCACGTAGAGTTGCCATGTCAATTTCTGGAGAGCCTCTCTCTTGCCAGCCCATCTAACTGGTTTCGCAGAGAGTAAACAACATATTTGAGAAGATAGCCTAAACAGTGTGTGAACACTGAGCTACTTGCGTCGGACACTTATGACCTCGAAGATTTTACCTTGGAGTCCACAAATACAGAGAAGGAAGTGTCCCAGTGTACCCACAACACAGACCATCTGTATCCCAGTATTGACCGGTCACAGAATGGGAACAATAACATTATTGGCTAAGCCGCCTATGTCCTTAAAGAAGGTAAACAGACATCAAGGTTTGTCCTGTATGTTACAAATTGGCGTCTATGATAATTATTTCCATAACAGTCCTCTCTTTTTATCATTTATGATAGCCTAAAAACATTAGTCTAATAATAATTTGGTCAATAATTAACTCAATAGGCGTCTCCAGGTTCGAGTGTGGTCTCACCTTACATCAATTATATCACAAAGTGGAATAAGATTGAAACATTCAATCACAATGATTGATACAGCCAATCATAATAGGAAAAATCATCTCTCATCAGTGATTTGATCATCTTTTGTCAAAAGCATAATAATGAACACACATAAAACACAGGTGCACAATGGCTAAATATTTGTTTTAAACTAATATCTTTTATCATTTACCATTAGTTAATTTCATTCATCAAACTATAAAATCAAAACCAGCTTGCCGCTTTAAAGATTTACTTGAAGGCAATCACTAGTCAAAAGCATTTTAAAACTCAGGATCGTAAGAGACCCTGCTAAAAATTCACAGTTAGAGTATAGAATTCACAATGGTGATTTGATCAATCTGTGATCTGCAAAATTGCAGTGTCCTCAATTTTAGGATTATCTTAAGAGTCAGGCACTTAATTTTAGTAATATCAATACATTCAAAATCTGAAAAGGAAAAGTCAGACATATATTGTGTAGTGTAACAACCTGAAAAGGAAAAAATCAACTTTAATCTGAGCATCAGTTTTAATTCATTGGCCATTCGTTGTAAGGGGGAACCCATGGTTCGGGTGCCACGGTAGAGACCCACGGGTCTGGTAGCTCGACGTCGTACATCATCACGGTGTCATCAATGGTGTCGTACCCCACCAGTGTCTGTGGGGCCTGGAGGGCGGTTTTGACAACCTTTTGCATGACCAGCTTAACAACAGTGACTAGGCACACTATCAGGATTAGTACAGCTAAGATAAACAGTGAAATGGTAATGGCAAGTTTACCCAATCCCGCTCCCCATGACCCAAATATTCCAGATAAATCCCCAAATGCAAACCCATGAGTTTCGTGCAATTATTTTATTCCCCTAGCAGTATCATGAGCCATATCCATGACCTCAGGTGTAGCATCAGAGATGAAAGAACAACACTCAGAGCCAATCACCTTGCACGTGCCCCCCTGTGCTGCTAGCAGAAGATCCAGTGCCATCCGATTCTGTAATGCCACTGTTCTAACTTCCTGCAGTTCTTTGTGTTCAGCCAACATGGCTCTGTTGGATACATTGAGGTGGTTTTCCACTATTTTGGAGAGAGCTATGATTTCCTGCTGGGAAACATAAATGCCGTACCAGGGCAGGACAGCGCTAGCCAGCTGCTGACCTGTTGTGATGGTCCTACGATTTCTGTGTAGGGAGGGGAGTATTGCTGCAATCTCATCAGTCTCTACTTTACGGATCAAAGGGATTAGATAGGCTAGATAACAGGTGCCATCAAAAGTGTCATAAGGCATGCAACTGTAGGCTCTGTCTCCACAGACCAAGTAAACTCTCTCTGGGAGGGGAGTTCGGGTTAATTTGACCTTTATTACGGTGTTACAGTCGCTATGGGGTAAGAAGGGATGTAACAATCATCGGTCTCATCGCTAATTCGGGATGCTATATCATTCCAGCTAACTAAACTGTAGTCAGGTTTTGTGAAAGGAATTGGGCTGAACATGGGAGAGTGCATGGACTCTGGCATATTTTGGCACAGCCAACAGTTGCTAACATTGCGTTCATGTGCATAATCTATCATTACATTTATTGCAGAATTAGAATTGGTTTTAGTTTGTTTAGGTGGAGTGATATGGGCACTCTTTAAAGAATCTACATCACTTCCTGGTGACTTAATTACAGCTGGACCTGGTTCCATATTTGAGCATCTAGTGACCCCTGTACTGGGATCTCTGTAATTGGGTGTCCATGTGGTACACATAGGATCATTGTTTAACTGTTCTTTAGTGAAACACCACATTTCTGGGGGTACATTTGCAATGGTGTTGAGTGTTATTCTTACCATCCGCTGCGAGACATGGAACCGCTGGTACCCCGTCTCTGGATAGACGTTCCACGCCCACAAGCCTTTGCTTGAAAACACAGGAAACACAACAACACAGTCATGTGAGTTACAGTGTGTAATCGGACATTCAAAGGAAATATTCTGTAATCCTGTTTTAGAAATGTCAAGAGCAGGGAGAGGGAGTGGCCTTATCTCGGGGCCCACTTTCCTCCTTCTTCTCGCTCTTTTTTTTAAATGTTTGTGTGGTGGTGGGAAACAACCTGATTTTGTTGCTAGGCAATGGTGTGCCCGTTGATGTGGTTTGGCCTTCAGGGTCTGGGCCCTGGATAGCCAAACTGCCTGCGCCCTTGGATAAGAGCACCTTATATTCCCCTTCTGAGGGGCGAGAGCCCTCGCCACCTGTCATCGGGATTGGTTCCGCCTCATCTGGCGGGGTTTCCTTGGCCAGGTATAGTAGACCCAGACCAAGGAATATGAGGACATTCATCACACGCCAGCACCCTGACCCTCCCCTCTGATCGGCGGAGGAGACAGGCGGCATCGAGAAGCGTGGATCCACTCTGTCCTGCCTTGGACCTTTAGGGCTGTTCTGGTCACTATTAACACCTGGAAAGGACCTTTCCACCTGGGAGACAGACCATCTTTTTCAAGAGACTTGATTAGCACATTATCACCAATCTTAAAAGGGTGGGTCGGCTCCTCTCCAGGTTGAGGGAGCCTGTCAGCCACCTGTCTGTGAAACTTTCTCAACATGTCGGTCAAATATTTTACATAGTTAGTCATGTAATCATCTGTCCACAACAGAGTAAGTTTATGGGGTGTCACTGGGGGACTGGACCCTGTGGACATTACCCTTCCCATCAATACTTTGTGGGGGGCTAAGCCCTGTCGTAGCATTCGGTGTGTTTCTGATGGAACACAGGACTAGTGGTAGAGCATCTACCCATTTCAATCCTGTGGTCAACATTGTCTTGGTGAGTTTCTCCTTTATGGTCAAGTTCATTCTCTCAACCTGGCCTGAGCTCTGTGGGTGATAGGGAACGTGCAACTGCCATCTGAACCCTAACACTGTAGCTAGACTCTGGGTTATCTTAGAGACGAATGCTGGACCTCTGTCACTGTTAATCCCTGCTGGAACACCAAATCTAGGGATAACATCTTTGAGAAGACACTTTACAACTGTTCTAGCGTCTTCTTTTCTGGTTGGGTAGGCCTCTACCCATTTGGAGAACTGGCACACTATTACCAAGAGATACTTGCAACCTTGGCATGGTGGCATGTGTGAGAAGTCGATTTGCATATTTACAAAGGGCCCCGACGGGGGTACCAAGTGTTCGTGTTGGACTGGGCCACTTTTCTTTCTTGTCTGCTGGCATGTCATGCATCTATCTACTAGGGCCTGTGTCGCTAGTGTGATGCCTGGGGCAAACCATTGTGATTGTATAATCCCATTCATCCCTCCTTTTCCTACATGTGTAGAGCCATGAGCAACATGTGCCAAAACATGGAGGAACGAGCGGGGGCAGACCATTCGGCCATCTGGGTGGAGCCACAAGCGGGGTGGAGCGGGACTCTGCGTCAAGTGTACAACTTCTGCGCAGCCATAAGTCTTTCTCCCTAGCATCAGCGCGGGCTTGTATGTCCGCGACATCATTAAAGGAAGGCAAACAAATGGGTTCTGCAGGTTGTGTGGAGGGACATTGGAGCACCATGGAGGAAGAGGAAATGGCCGCTTGTTTAGCCGCGGTGTCGGCTAACGCATTTCCGCGTGAAATAGGATCATCAGAATTTGTGTGAGCAGCACATTTAACTACTGCTAGCTGTGCAGGGAGCAGGATAGCGTCTAACAGTTGAGCCACTAACGCATGATGTTGAATAGGCTTACCAGCCGATGTTAAGAAACCGCGCATTTTCCACAGGACTCCAAAATCGTGGCATACCCCGAAAGCATACCTGGAGTCTGTGAAAATGGTCGCAACTTTATCTTTAGCCAAAATGCACGCTCTGAGTAGAGCATACAACTCTGCCGCCTGAGCCGACGTGCCATTGGGCAACGCTCGGCTTTCTAAGACTTCCCTGTCGTTCACAACAGCATAGCCAGCAAAGCGTAATGTGTCAGATGGTCTGCAGGCAGACCCGTCTGTGTACAGAATCATATCTGAATTCGGGATTGGAGTTTGCAACATATCAGTTCTGGGCGAAGAAGACAGATCTATGGTTGTGATGCAGTCATGTGTTAGATCAAAGTCTGGTATTGGGACCAGTGTGGCTGGGTTCAGAGGAGGGGAGCGCCTGAGAGTGATGTGCGGGCTCGAAAGAATGACCGCCTCATACCCAGAGCGCCTTGCTGCTGTCATATGCTGAGTAGCAGAGGTGTTCAGAATATGCAAAACTGCATGTGGGACATGTACTACACAGTCACTGGCCAGTACAATGGGAGAGGATTGCTTGATAACTATTGCAACTGCGGCCACTGCTCGCAGGCATGAAGGCATACCAAGTACCACAGGGGAAAGTCGAGACGAATAATACGCCACAGGCCGAAAATTAGAGCCATGCTTCTGTACCAAGATGCCCGTTGCAAAGCCCCCCCTTTCATGGACGTGTAGATGAAAAGGTTGATGGTAATCAGGGAGACCCAGGGCCGGAGCCGATGTGAGGGCCTGCTTTAAGTCCTGAAAAGCTGTGTGCATGTCCTCAGACCATTGAACAATGTTCGGGGCGGCCTGCAGAGTGGCAGCACGCAGGACGGAGTCCATAGCAGCGTACTCGTATATCCAATGTCTGCAGTAGTTTGCCATACCCAAGAAGGAAAGCATCTCCTTCTTTGTGTGCGGTGGTGGCACTTTGTTCAAAAGGCAGACTCTCGCAGGTGAGAGGAGGCGGTGTCCATCTCTCAGAATGTGACCCAAATACGTGACCTCAGTCTGGCAGTATTGCAACTTGGCCAGGGATGCTCTGTGTCCGCATTCAGAAAGTCTTTTCATGAGCAGAATGGAGTCGATGCGACAGGCGTCTTTGTTAGGGGATGCTATCAACAGGTCATCAGCGTACTGAAGGAGGGTGCTACCCCCTGTAAGGACCAAAGTGTCCAGGTCTCTTTTAACAGCTGCGGCGTACACAGTGGGTGATTCAACAAACCCCTGCGGGAGGCGCGTGTATGTGATCTGTTTACCTTTGAAAGTGAACGCAAACAGATACTGGCTTTCTGGATGCAAAGGTATAGAGAAAAATGCTGAACAAAGATCAATGACTGTGTAGTATGTGCTGTCTGGAGGCAAAGAAGCAAGGATTGAATTGGTGTCAGGCACAATGGGTGCTGTGGGAATGACAATGGCATTAATAGCTTGCAAATCTTGGACAAAACGCCACTCATCAGGGCGATTGTGCTTTGGGATTGGCAAAATTGGTGTATTGCAGGGGCTGGAGGTGTAAACCAGGAGCCCCTGAGCGAGTAGCGACTCTATTACCCCTGTAATGCCCAAAATGGCTTTTTGGGGTAAGTTGTACTGTCTGATCGCTGGCAATCTGGCATTGGCTTTAAGTGTCACTCTGTGAGGGGGTGCAGACTTTACAAACCCCACATGGTTCTTGTGTTTGGCCCATAAGGTGGCTGGGACCTCTGAGAAATCTGAAGGGGGGCCATACTCTGTGGGGAGGGGTGGTTGAAAGTGAGAAAATGTGCTTTGGGGGAGACAGATGGGCTTAGGGAGACGTAGCATGTAATGTTCCTCCCCTAGGTTGATCAGATTAGGTGTGTGTGTGCGTGGCAGAGAAGCTGTTGCAACTTCTAGCCGGGCCTGGCAGTGGGCTGCCATGGCCCCCACCTCCTCAGGACTACTGCCTGTAGTGACAGCTAGTGTGACGTGCGGGGCAGTTTCTACAACATGAAAGCCCTGTTGTAGGGGTGTGAGCCTAATAGGCAATGCGCACCCCTGTGGACCTATAAATAGAAACTGTTCACATTCCAACCGATCTGAGCTATTGCAATAACTCCTCACTGACAGTGCATACTCACTTGATGGGTTAAATGCAGCTGTGCAGTGACAATGTAACACAGGCCTCATAGATGACATCATAGAGGCGCATGCTGGGGAAATGCTAGCAATGTTTTGAATTCCCTCTGTGGAAAAAATGGAAAGCATTTGGAAATCTGGAAATGTCCAACAATAAAGATTGTTTAGAGATGATTGTATGAATTGAACAGCCTGATATACTCTGCTGTCTGGTATTGTCAAATACAGCCCGTCTGGTGTGCAATGTATGGTTGCTTGTAGCTTACACAGTAGGTCTCTGCCCATCAGGTTAATTGGGCTGCCCTCTGAGATAATGAAAGAGTGTTGCACCCGTGATCCATCAACGGAAATATTAGTTCTCTCTGAAATAGGCTCTGCTATTGGAACGCCGGAAACGCCTACAGTGGTAACAAAACTGTTAGTTGCTTTACACACCTTCTCTTTTGTTCGTACAGCTGATAATGTTGCACCACTGTCAACCAAAATGTCAACAGTTGTGCCATTAACCTCAACCGGCATCATTGGATCCTCGCGGGGGTTAGTGGAAAGGCGAATAGTTGCTGCTTGAATGGGGATTTTTTGTGTTATTGATCCTATTCCTCCATGGCCTCCCTATAGTTCATTATAGCCACCCTGTGCTGCTGCATACTGCCCCTGCTGGTCCTGCCTGTCATAGGGTGGAAAGTGGCTGCTGGACATAGGTGGGGGAGGCGGCAGTGTGGGCTGCAGGGTTGGGGGCAGGGCAGGCAAATTGTGTGTGTGCTGCTGTGCTCCCCACCTCTTAGGACATTTCCCTGCCCAGTGCTCAGTGCTGCCGCAGACGTGGCAGTGCATTTGTTTTTTTTTGGTTTCTGTTTTGCTGCTGCCTGTTCTTGTTTTGATAACCTTGTGACTGTCCTTGGTTCTGATACTGTGGTGTGCTGTTTTGTCCCTGAGTCTGCTGGTAGTTACTCTGACCTTGATAAGCCTGTGTGCTGCCCTGTTGCAGCACCTGGGCCGTTCGGGGAATCAGAAAAATCTGGCTTCTGTGTAGGGCCCGCATGGTGGCAATAGTAACTTTCCAGGTTTTCATCTGCCAATCGGGGGTGGCTAACATGTAAGCTCGAGCTGTCTCCGGGATAAGGTTATGCAATAAGCTCTGTACTGCAAACAAATCATTGATCTCTCTTTTAATGCCTGCATTGTTGTCCCACACTGTTATGAATCTCTGGATAAAGTCTGGCACTGTTTCTGTAGGGCTCTGGATGCAAGCCATCACTTGGGAAAAGTCAGTGTGAGATTTAGCACAAGCTTTGATAGCCCTAGCTCCGTCAGTTTCTAGCCACTGAGTGAGGGACTGTGTTACAGGCCAATCTCTTGCGTTTGTGCACACTGGAAATTTAAACTCATCTTTGCATGTTGGCCACTCGGCTTTGTATGTGAGGACGATCAGCTGTTTAACATCATGCACCAAACAGTTATAGACCATACACACATTAGTCAGCCATGATAGATATTCATCTGGGCTTTTAGTGGGGTTGGGCGCGTGTCTTGTGACATCGATAACCTCTGAGGGAGTCCATGGTTTAAATACCGGGACTTCTCCTATCAGGATTTTCGGGGCATTGTGTGTTTCACTGGCGGCTGCGGCTTGTTGTGCTTCCTGCGCTGTATTATGTACCTCTTGCTCTTGCGCAGCCTGTGACGCCTTTCTTGTGATCATTTTTCCCGAGTGCCGCTATCTCCTTAGCTGTGAATTGGCGTGGTGTGTGTGCTAAACTGAGCGGAGGAGGAGGAGGAGGAGGAGGAGGAGGGGGGGGGAGGAGGAGAAGAAGAAGAAGGGGGAGGGGGACTTTGCTCTGGAGATGTCCCTGTCTCTGCTGAAGACTGGCCACCTGAATAACCAGAAGCCTCACCTCCGCCCCTGTAATCTGCCATTTCCTGTAAACCTGCGTTTCGCTCTGTGTGTGCGTCATGTATCTCTTGCTCCCTTTCCCTCTTCACTTCTATCTGTCTGATGTTAATGATAGCTGCAACCAGGCCCGGACTGGCCATCGGGAGGACCGGGAGGTTTCCCGATGGCCTGGCCTGTTAAGTGGCCTGCTGGCCTGAGGAATTTCTTTTTTTAATGTATTGTGAACGCAACGCTGCGCAAATGTGGGTCTGACTCTGCCTCACAGAGGGTGACTGGCTGTATACATGATGTGGCCTGCCGACATGGCCACTTTCATACAGATCATACACTAATGGCCTCGATTGGTCTCTGTGTGTCATTCAAGCTCGGGAGGGTGTGTGTATGTGTGGCGCGAGCGAGCGAGAGAGAGAAAGCATGCGCACTGGTTACGTGTATTGTTGTTGTTAGCATCTGATGCTAGCTAGCTGCGCTAACGGATATGAGCTGTCAACAAGGTGGAGGAGAGTCCTCTCCTGTCAGACTGAGAGACTGATAACTACAGCTCAGGTGAGGTAAAGGACTCTGAGTGTTTAGATAGTTAACTTAGTCTAAGTTCTCTGTGGGTCTCAAACGGTTTGGTCACCATTTATGTAAACACATATTTCCATTTGAAGGGGGAGTGATTAGTAAAATATTGATGAATAATAAAAAATAAAATGTTAACTGGTGAAAAAAGGATAAACTTTATAAACTTGTTGAGAGCTAAAACTAGTCTTTGCTGCTGCCTCAAAGAGGAGCAGGGGGATAGGGGGAGACGGGTGAGGCTGATTCAGGAGCCCAGACACACTCACAACTATAAATGAACCAAAAACAAATAAATAAACAAGTTTCAATGTTTTTTCATATTGGATATGGTATGTTATTGGTTATGGCCATGTTCTTATGATTTTATGATTATTTAAATGTATACAGTTCTGTTTCATATGGGTGTAGTCTCTTTATTTCCCCCTCAAAGTGCACCAGATTGATGCATTTAAGTCCAACATTTTTAAAAAATCTTACCGGGGGAGCATGCCCCCGGACCCCCCTAGAGGATTTCAGGTCCACCTCCACTTAAAATATGTTCACATGGATAGGTTCCTAGATGTGCACAGCAACGCCTAAATAGATTTGCACAGCAACACTGTATATATTGACAAATAAATCCAGGAAAATGGCACAAAAGAAAACTGATGGCCTGGCTGGGTGTATAATTCCCGGCCTGACTTATTGTCGGCCCTGGCTGCAACTGCCTCCAACAAGTCGTTATCTGAGTTTCTGGCAATATGATTTATTTATTTTGTCTCTGTGGTGGGGATTACTTTGGGGCAGAGAGTTACAGTGTGCTCCTTGATAATGCTCTGTGTTAGTTGGACCCCTGCGTCTGTCAAGATGCTAATCACTTGGGACGGGAGGGGCTCGATCTTTTCCTTGACGCCTAACCCAGTCAAACATTATAGCCTTAGCTACGGCCGCCACATCGTTGCCATGTCTCTCTTTTATTCTGGACATGATATCTGCTCTGACGTCAGAGCCCCATTCATATCCACCTTCACTTTCACTCTTTTTTCCCACAGACATCCACGCTTTCACGCTTTTTTTTCATGTACCCTTTGTCCCAAGCTGGGTTAGGATCATCATCTATAATCTGAGAAACCTGTCGCAGCACACTCATATCAAAAGTGCCTGTGCATGGCCAGTCAAACGGGATTCTCCCTCTCTGATTGTTCTGTTGTGAAAATTCGCACATCAATGCTGTGAAAGGCATCACATGATTCCAGCCTACAGCTCTGCCGACCATCCCAGACGGCATATTTGGGGGAAACATGTGTGTGTAGTTCTGTTTGTCTGTTGCGAATTTTGGTAGGTGTGATGTTTGTTTATCGTATGTTTGTGTTTTAGTTTTAACAACCGGCTCAGGTGTGGACAGATGATTACCCATGTTTGTGGTTAGTATATGAAGATCAACACTGCAATTTGGACAAACAAACATGAGCTCACTAATAAACACCAGGGCGACAGCAAAGTTCTTCAACTCAATATTAGTCCGGTTTTAAGAGAGATCTTAGAGGGGGTGAGGAATTATCTCCGGTGGACGTCTGCTCACGTCTACCCTTGTATACAAGTGATTTATCGGTGCTTGAAAGCCGTCCAAGAGCGATAACTAAGCGTATCCTCTTGCGACAACCACTAGGCTATCTGTTTCTAGTGGCGCTGTGCCCCCCCGATCGGAGCCCACAGACTTTTCCCCTGCCCTTTCTCCCCAAACAACAGCTCAGTTGACTGTAGTCCGTACGACCAGCCTATATCTACTCGCCATCGAGTTCACCTCAAGGTGAAACACAGTTTGCCTATGCTTGCTTGCCACTACACACCTCTGATCAATTAGCCTATAATTGTATGTATGCACTCCTGACCGCTACCTGCTCCAGAGAGCCGTAGCGCATCGGGTGATGCACGCACCTCGTGCTGGCCCGTCTAACCATGAGAAAAACGGTCCTAAACAACGAGTGCGTTTAGACCGTCCCGTTTGAAGGACGGCGGTGCCGTGAGTTAAAACCTAGACAAAAACTGTGATTTTCTTCCTCTCAGCCTGCACTGCTCCAGCCCCACACACACACGGTGAGGTTTTTACACACACACACACACACACGCAAGGCTGCAGCTGGAGCCGTGTTTCTACAGAGAGGTGATAGCAGTAAATATCTCTGGCTGCTTATTTTCAACTGCTATGTTTGGCCACCAAGACCCTCAAAATCCGGCGATTTGTCCAGTACAAATCTTTTGCATTGCTTTCAATTCACACAGAAGCTCCACCTCACTGATGCCCTTTCTTTAAGGTCTCTTTAAACATGAGCTGTGCATGCTTGTATGGCACTTCCGTCCCGAATCAGCATACACAGAGGAAGTCAGCCAGGACTGAGTCCCCAGACACTGATTCCCTGGGTTTAACTATCCCCAAATGTTCATTAACCAAAAGGAAACGCAGCCGATCAGTTTCACAGGTAATTTTAGGATACCGTCAATCACAGAGTCTGGCAAGGCAATTCAAAATGTAAATTTGAAATCACACTTACCAGCTCTGACAATGTGTTGGTATCCTGCCGACAACGCCAATTTGTAGAGGAAACTTCTGTGTAGCATGCAATGGAGTCACCGACTCAGGAAGGAGACACGGGAAGAGTCGGAGCTTTGATGTCAAACCACTGTGATTTATTTGGAGTTGGTACCAGAGTATTCACATCACAAATCCAAGAGTCAGAGGTTCTGACTCCACGGTAGAGTTGCCATGTCAATTCTGGAGAGCCTCTCTCTTGCCAGCCCATCTAACTGGTTTCGCAGAGAGTAAACAACATATTTGAGAAGATAGCCTAAACAGTGTGTGAACACTGAGCTACTTGCGTCGGACACTTATGACCTCGAAGATTTTACCTTGGAGTCCACAAATACAGAGAAGGAAGTGTCCCAGTGTACCCACAACACAGACCATCTGTATCCCAGTGTATTGACCGGTCACAGAATGGGAACAATAACATTATTGGCTAAGCGCCTGTGTCCTAAGAAGGTAAACAGAAAAGGTTTGTCCTGTATGTTAACAATGGCATATATGGATATTAGTTCCAGAACATACAGACAACAATACATAATACATAATACAAAACATCAGACAGACAAACATAAAACACAACACATACATACAACATACCATACAGTACATACATAAGCATACGAAACATACATACAACATACAAGACATACTACAACATACATACATACATACATACGACATACATACATCAGACATACATACATACAATAGACATACAGACATAACATACATACAAACAAACCACACATACATACATAACATACAGACAGAATAAACAAATACATAAACATACATACATACATACATACATACTACATACATACAGTACACATACATACATACATACATACATACTACATACATACATACATACATACATACTACATACATACAGTACACATACATACATACATACTACATACATACATACATACATACAGTACACATACATACATACATACATACATACATACATACATACATACATACATACATACTACATACATACATACATACATACATACATACATACATACATACATACATACTACATACATACATACATACATACTACATACATACATACATACATAATACATACATACACATACATACATACATACATACATACTATACATACATACCACCATACCTACCTACCTACATACCTACCTACCTACCTACCTACATACATACATACATACCTACCTACCTACCTACCTACATACATACATACATACATACATACATACATAACCAGAGCTGAGGATCCTAATACTGCTGTTCCTTGAACGGCCACTTGAGGCTGGCTTCAAAATGGGAACAATCCCCATAGACCCCCAGGTTAAAATGCCCATATCTGCAGCAGAAATACAATGTTACATATGAATGGCCTAGTAAAAAAAAAGTTTGACTTTAGAGTTATCACCCTATTAATGACAACTGTAAAGAGTGTGAATGTTTGGATAACTCATCAGTTATAACTATATTTAGGTTCAAGGTTATACATCATTTAGGCCGTTGCCGCTTTGAGTAAGAGGTGGTTATACAGGTTGCTAGCTGCTCTGCATTTAAATCAACCTGTTCATAGAGATTAAGGTTTAATGTAATTGTTGCACATCTTTCAAACTCGACACCTCCAGTATGCACACACTTTGTTATAGATCTGTGGTCTCCAAACTCAAAGTGGGATTCTTTCATTTTTAAAACATTTTCAAGTGAGT